AAGCTAGCCCCCCACAATTTGCAACTATGTTTTCTCTTTTGATGTTTTTTGACGAGCAAGTATATTTGCTTTATTGTCATGGGGATTGCTAATATTTCCTTTGAGTATATTCTTCGTTTTGATTTAAAAGTCTTTTCTAGCCTGAGGTTAAAGAATACAGTTTCTATATTACTTTCTACAAACTGCATAATTCTGCTCTCACTTTAGTTAATCCACATAAAATTAATAACTTGCTTTATGAGAAGTAGGGTTCTGATTTTATTTTATATGGAAAATCAGCTTTCCCTGAACCATTTATACAGGTATTCTTATTTCCACTAATCTAATATGCCAGGTATTCCATAGTGAAGCTTACAGATCATCAGGGATCTCTACCTCCACTTTTATTTTTTCCTGTGAATCTTCACCTCTATTTTATGTTCCTGACTTAATGTCACAATTAATCTGCATTTATATGAATATTTATTATTTGGTAAGGCAGTTCCTCATATTCTTCATCTCCTACAAAAATATCTTTATTATTCTTGACTCTTTGTGTTCCTATAAAATTTTGTAGTCCTCTTGTCAGTTTCTAAAATTATTCTGCCAGGGATAGTTTGCAACATTTTTGAAATTATGACTTGATTTGAAAAATATTAATTATAATATTAAAATTACCAATCCAGTAATATTATCATTTGTGTCTACATTAAGGTTTCCTTTTAGTTAATAATGTTTTTTACAATTTTCTTGATAACTATGCAAACCTTTTGTTACATTTATACTAAAATTCTGTATGTTTTAATGTTATATAAAAGGAATCATTTAAAATTAAATATTAAAATATTTTTGCCAGTGAGATGTGATTAACTTTTATACATTAAGTTTAATCCAGTAAGTTGATAATATATTAAGTCTATATATCTGTGGATTATTTTGTTTTAAGAAATCCTACCATTATTTAGGAACAAGAGATTTTTTTCATATTCATTGTATTTCTTTTTTATTTCCATATAAAAATTAATATGATATCCAGTGCAGTGATAAATTCATGTGGGAATGATGTTTGTCCATGCCTGTTTTATAATCTTATAGGGAATGTGTTCAACACTTCATTGTTAAGTATAATGCTTGTGCAGTATTTATTTCTTTCTTTTTAATTTATTTTTTTATTGAAGGATAATTGCTTTACAGAATTTTGTTGTGATCTCTCAAACCTCAACATGAATCAGCCATAGGTATACATATATCCCCTCCCTCTGTACAGTGTTTACTTTTTTGTGTATTTTTCATCAGATTAAAATGGCACACTATTCCTAAAATAGCCAAATTTTTATTTTGCCTTTTACATTGTTTTATTTTGTTTGCAATTAGTGGTTGTTGAATTTTATCAAATGCTTTTACTTGACTCGTTAAGTTAATCATATACTTTTTTTCTGTTAGTATGTGAATTGGAGAAACTTCTGTCTTTAAATGAAAATATAAACTTCATCCTGGACAAAACCAAACTCCACTTTCCCACCTCCCTTTCAGTTACATACGGCCAGGTATTTGGGTTTTAACTAACAAAATATAAGAAGAAATGATCTATATCACTATCAGACCTTGCCTTATAAATCCTCCCTTACCTCTCTTCCATTATCTTTCTCATTCCTACTTGGTGGGGATGAAAGTAACCATAGCATATTTGAAACAAGGGCTTCCCAGTTGGCACTAGTGGTAAAGAACACACCTGCTAATGCAGGAGACAGAAGAGACAAGAGTTCGACCCCTGGGTTGGGAAGATCCCCTGGAGGAGGGCAGGGCAACCCACTCCAGTATTCCTACCTGGAGAATCCCATGGACAGAGGAGCCTGGTGGGCTACAGTCTATAGGGCTGCAAAGAGTCAGACACGACTGAAGCGACTTAGCACATATGCATGCAGAAAGACAGCAAAGTCTGCCTCAGGTCAGGTACCTGAAAGTGATCTACATTTTTAATACTATGAGACTATTCACATGTTTTTTCTTTTCGGATCAGTTTTACTAAGATATGTTCTAAACAGTTGTCGATTTTGTATATTTTTTCCAAATTCAGCATATACTTTTGTGTGTGCTCAGTCGCTCAGTCGTGTACATCTCTTTGCTACTCTATGGACTGTAGCCCACCAGACTCCTTTGTCCATGGAATTTTCCAGTCAAGAGTATTGGAGTGGGGTGCCATTTCCTCCTCCAGGGGATTTTCCCAAACTCACAATCAAACCCACATCTCCTGTGGCTCCTGCATTGGCAGGTGGATTCTTTACCATGGAGCCACCTGATTCTCTTATTAAATATGTCATGTTGATAATACCTGCACTTTTATCTCCTTTTAAAATGCTAATATGTATTGCCTATTATGTCTTTTATAAGGAACAATTTTTGAATTAGACTACTTTCTCAAATTTTTTTATTTATATTTTTTTAATTTGATTTTTATCTTCATTATTTCATTGTATCTAGCTATGTTGGGTTTGCTCTACCATCCTTTACATAAATTCCTTAGATCAGATGCATAGATCATTAATTTTAAACTGCCTTCTCTAATGTAAATACTAAGCTGTATATTTTCTTAAAAATACTGCTTTAGCTGCAACTCAGATTTTTAATGTGATGTGTTATAGCTGAATTCTCAATATTTTTCAATTTATTTCATAACTGATTCTTTGATGAGTAGGTTATTTATATATATACTTCTAAACTTATGTGTTATGAATTTTTGCAAAATTACATATACTCAGAAAATGTATTCTGTGAATTGCTAGTTATTTCACATTTTTGAGGCTACCTCAATGCCTAATATGTGGTCAATTTTTGCTAAAGAACTTCATGTACTTAAAAAGGATGTGTATTATGCAATTGTTAGATGTTTTACGTGTGGACATTAGATATAGAGTTTCCAGATAAAGTACAGGATGCTACATTTAATCTGAATTTTATGTACATACATTTTTATGCTTCAAAATATATGTTGTTTATCTGAATTCAGATTTAAGGAGCCCTTTAATTTGTTTTTTCCTTCTCTTGCTCAATCTGGCAATTCTACTTAGATCAATCCTATTAATTTTTTTATTTAAATTTTCCATGTTATTATTTCTGTCTGCTTGATCATTTAGTGAGAGAGGAATGTTAAAACTTCCCTGTGATTTTGGACTTGTCAAAGTCTTCTTGTATTTTTTTCATTTCATTTATACCATTGAAAGTATATAGCTGAATACAAATTCATAAAACATATACAATTCATGTATTAGTTTTTTCTTAAATTATTTATTGATCCTCTTGAGATGTAGTAATGATTTTTGCCTTGCATTCTATTTTCCCTGGTGTCAGTATAGCTATTGCAGCTTTCTATTTGTTTGTATTTTATTCATTCATCCATTCAACCCAAATTTATTGAGTGTCTATTATGTGCAATGTATATATCAAAGAAAAACAAAAAATAAGAAATATGAATAAGTCCCTGATCTCACAAATCTTGCATTCTAGTGGTATGAGATAAAAAAATTAGCAAAATATATGCTGCATCATATGATGACATTATGCTATAAAGAAAACTAATCAGAGAAGAGAGATAGGAGTGCCAAACTGGCCTCATTATTCTCACAAAAATACGATGATTAGACTGAGAGGTGAGATATAACCTGAGTTTCCTTAGTTTATTTTAGTGGATCATGGAACAAGACAACAAGAACTTAAAGAGTTAAGTTCTGATGATCTCAAGGAAAATATGTGCACTTAAGTTGTCATCATTGGGTCATGTACTGAATAAGTTCTTGCTCTAAGTGCTAGGGCCTTGTCTTCACTTTCAGTAATAGCAATTGGATAATGGGTGATAGGGGTTTTGAGGTGGTGCTAGTGGTAAAGAACCCACCTGCCAAAGTAGGTGACATAAGAGACATGGGTTCAATCTGTAGGTCAGGAAGATCCCCTGGAGGAGGGCCTGCCAACCCACTCCAGTATTCTTCCTGGAGAAGCCCGTGGACAGAGGAGCCTGGCCAGCTAAGGTCATAGGGCTGGAAAGAATCAGGCATGACTGAAGAGACTTACCTTGCATGCACACAATGGATAATAGGCAAACCTTTTCATAACACAAGAGATGCCAAGCAAGTGTCATCTTAATTCCTGACTTTGGAGATAAGGGGTGACTAGGATGCATACAAAATAGAAAGGGCAGTGTGAGTAGACCAGAGCACAACTCACAGAGGTAAACATTTCTTTTGTCAATCCAAGAGCCACTGACCTTTACTGTGTGCTCTTTGCATTTCAAATATTTATTCAACACTTACAGAGATGAGCGATGTTTAGCACTCTGAAAACGACTGTTTCTTTCTTGTTTTTTTAAATTTGAACCTCTTCCTTGTAAAACTACAAGTTTTGAAAGTTCATACAATGTGGGAAAGAATTTAATAAATTTTTAGAGCTGGAGAACTAACATGAAAATGTGTTAGTCGCTCAGTTGTATCTGACTCCTTGGGACCCCATGGACAGTAGCCTGCCAGACTCCTCTGTCCATGGGATTCTCCAGGCAAGAATACTGGAGTAGGTGGGCATTTTCTTCTCCAGGGGATCTTTCTGAACTAGGGATCAAAACTCGAACACGAGTTTCCCACATAGAAGACAGATTCTTTACTGTCTGAACTATTAAATCTAGAAATAAAATATTGCTGAGGCCTTAGGAGTTCTCATTGGAACTCACTGTAAGCCCCTCACAGAGTCTCTCCCAGTCCCAACATGCTAAACCTGCAGTATGTCTTATTTTGTTCATTTGACAGGGTTGACAACACATGTTGTGTGCTGTGTAACATGTATTCCATTTCCTGGGGTCAAGAAGAGGTTGTTTTAAGGTCACACTGAAAAAGAGTGGCTAAGCCAGTAGCAAATTTGAGTCTGAGGAGTTCCAGAGTCTGACCTTCCCTCACTGCCAGCAAGATGCTGGTCCTATCTGAAAACCCAGCCAAGAAACCCCCAAAACAAGAAAAAAGCTTCCACAAGACAAAATTTATGCATTAGAAATGCAGACTGGCTATTATTAGAGTTATACAATACATAGTGTGAATGAATCATTTGTCATTTCTTATTAATGAACTGATGAACAGAGAGAAATAAACAAGTTCTTTAGAGCATCCTGCTTAGCAGAATGGAACGAATTCCGCAGCCTCGGGCACTGGGTAGTGTTCAGTAAATTATCTTTGCCCATGAACTAAATGGCACCCCTTAAAGAGTTCATTCACCTCACACGGATGAGCAGTTTACATCAGATAACAGATTCTTCACCTCCGTGATCCCGCCCGCTGCTATTATCTCAAAGATTTGTCACTGTCCTTTCACTTCCGTTCCTGGATCAGGCTAGGGAATTGGATGGCTTTGAAAGCATAGACAGTTTTTCCTTTGCCAGTCTTCCAGACATGAATGTGCATATGGCCAACTGCTTCAAGGGAGGGAAAAGAGATGCTTTAGAAATATTTTGAAGGATGGAAGGACACATGTTCTTATTTCATGTAGCATATCACCATGCTGTGCTGTGATTTGGGGTTACTGAAAAAACAAACAAAGCCCATTTATAATTAGTCTATTAATAGTGGCAAGCTAACTTTCATAACATTTATGTTTGGTATCTTGTATTATATATTTTATGTACCAGTATACAATAAGATACTTTATATGTCAAACACTCACATATCAATATATTAACTTATTTGATTAATACACATATGTTAATTTATTTAATTTTCAGTTAACAGATGGTAGATATCATTAGCCAAATTTTAAGTATGTATTATAGAAACTGAGGTTCAGAGAAATTAATCATGCCTGAATTTATACAAATGGTAAGTGGTAGAAATGAACTTAAACTTTCAATGATCTAAAGTGCATGCTCTTAAATGTTTTGCCAGGGTCCTGGAACTTGGTCCTTAGTGCGTTTAGACCAGAAATGGGATAGATTAAAAAGATTCAGGAAGTGGAAATTGATCTGATGCTTGGCAAATGCAGTGTAAGTAATTAAATTCAAGAGTAACAGTGAAATGAGAACAAATGTCAATAAACCTTTTCAACAAATGAAAAATGGGATACAGCTGAACTGGTCATAGATCAAATTAAAATTAAAGGAAATGAACAGTGAAATAGTTTTCATCTTGGCGTAGCACCATTCTTGGCTAATTTCACAATGGCAATGTATGTATGTGTGTGTGCCATGTGTGTGTCTGGTAGCACTTTGTGAATCATGCTGGATTTGGTTTTCACAACAGAACCAGCCCTGGGCTTCTCAAGTGACTTTAGTGGTAAAGAACCTGCCTGCCAATGCAGGGGATACAAAGAGATGCACGTTTGATCCCTGGGTTGGGAAGATTCTCTGGAGAAAGAAGTGGCAGCCCACTCCAGTATCCTTGCCTGGAAAATTCCACGGACATAAAAGCCCAATGGGCCGCAGCCCATGGGGTCACAGAGAGTCAGACACGACTGAGCACCTGAGCACACAGAACCAGCAAAGTAGTAATTATATTCACCAGTTTATGTGTGAGCAAACTGAGGCAAAAGAGACTATATAAACTCTGGAAGGTGCAAAGTCAGCATGCTGTCAAGTCATATTTTAAAATCAGGCCCATTTGTGTTAATTTTAGTGATTTTCTCCCCTGTGTGTTCCTATGCTTTTGTCAAGTGTAACCCCTTGAACAGTATAGAAAGTTAAAAAGATAGGACACTGAAAGATGAACTTCCCAGGTGGGTAGGTGCCCAATATGCTACTGGAGATCAGTGGAGAAATAACTCCAGAAAGAATAAAGAGATGGAGCCAAAACAAAAAAAAAACTCCCAGTTGTGGATGTGACTGGTGATGGAAGTCAAGTTTGATGCTATAAAGAACAATATTGCATAGGAACCTGGAATGTTAAGTCCATGAATCAAGACAAATTGGAAGTGGTCAAACAGGAGATGGCAAGAGTGAACATCAACATTTTAGGAATCAGCAAACTAAAATGGACTAGAATGGGTGAATTTAACTCAGATAACATGATAGCCACTATTGTGGGCAAGAATCCCTTAGAAGGAATGGCGTAGCCACCGTAGTCGACAAGAAAGTCCTAAATGCAGTACTTGGATGCAGTCTCAAAAATGACAGAATGATCTCTGTTCATTTCCAAGGCAAACCATTCAGTATCACAGTAATCCAAGTCTATGCCCAGACCAGTAATGCTGAAGAAGCTGAAGTTGAGTGGTTCTATGAAGACCTACAAGACCTTCTAGAAGTAACACCCAAAAAAGATATCCTTTTCATTATAGGGGACTGGAATGCAAAAGTAGGAAGTCAAGAAACACCTGCAGTAACAGACAAATTTGGCCTTGGAGTACGGAATGAAGCAGGGCACAGGCTAACAGAGTTTTGCCAAGAGAATGCACTGGTCATAGCAAACACCCTCTTCCAACAACACCCTCTTCCAAGAGAAGACTCTACAAGTGGACATCACCAGATGGTCAATACTGAAATCACATTTATTATATTCTTTGCAGCCAAAGATGTAGAAGCTCTATACAGTCAACAAAAACAAGACCGGGAGCTGACTGTGGCTCAGATCATGAACTCCTTATTGCCAAATTCAGACTTAAACTGAAGAAAGTAGGGAAAACCACTAGACCATTCAGGTATGACCTAAATTAAATTCCTTACAATTATACAGTGGAAGTGAGAAATAGATTCAAGGGCTTGGATCTGACAGACAGAGTGCCTGAAGACCTATGGACAGGGGTTCATGACATTGTACAGGAGGTAGGGATCAAGACCATCTCCATGGCAAAGAAATGCAAAAAGGCAAAATGGCTGTCTAAGGAGGCCTTACAAATAGCTGTGAATAGATGAGAAGCTAAAGGCAAAGGAGAAAAGGAAAAATACACATATTTGAATGCAGAGTTCCAAAGAATAGCAAGGAGAGATAAGAAAGCCTTCCTCAGTGATCAGTGCAAAGAAATAGAAGAAATAGAAAGAAATAGAGGAAAAAGAATAGAATGGGAAAGTCTAGAGATCTCTTCAAGAAAATTAGAGATACCAAGGGAACATTTCATGCAAAGATGAGCACGATAAAGGGCGGAAATGGTATGGACCTATAGCAGAAGATATTAAGAAGAGGTGGCAAGAATACACAGAAGAACTGTACAAAAAAGATCTTCACAACCCAGATAATCGCTATGGTGTGATCACCAACCTAGAGTGAGACATCCTGGAATGCAAAGTCAAGTGGGCAATAGGAAGCATCACTGTGAACAAAACTAGTGGAGATGATGGAATTCCAGTTGAGCTATTTCAAATCCTAAAAGATGATGCTCTGAAAGTGCTGCGTTCAATATTCCAGAAAATTTGGAAAACTCAGCAGTGGCCACAGGATGGGAAAAGGTCAGTTGTCATTCCAATCCCAAAGAAAGGCAATGTTAAAGAATGCTCAAGCTACCACACAATTGCACTCATCTCACACACTAGTAAAGTAATGCTCAAAATTCTCCAAGCCAGGCTTCAACAGTATGTGAACCATGAACTTAAAGATGTTCAAGTTGGATTTAGAAAAGGCAGAGGAACCAGAGATCAAATTGCCAACATCCTTTGGATCATTGAAAAAGCAAGAGAGTTCCACAAAAACATTTACTTCTGCTTCATTGACTATGCCAAAGCCTTTGACTCTTTGGACCACAACAAAGTGGAAATTCTTAAGGAGATGGGAATAACAGACCACCTCAACTGCCTCTTGAGAAATCTGTATGCTGGTCAGGAAGCAACAGTTAGAACTGGACATGGAACAACAGACTGGCTCCAAATAGGGAAAGGAGTATGTCAAGGCTCTATATTGTCACCCTGCTTATTTAACTTATATGCAGAGTACATCATGAGAAACACTTGCCTGGATGAAACACAAGCTGGAATCAAGATTGCTGGGAGAAATATCAATAACTGCAGAAATGCAGATGACACCATCTAATGTCAGAAAGTGAAGAAGAACTAAAGAGCCTCTTGATGAAAGTGAAAGAGGAGACTGAAAAAGTTGGTTTAAAAACTCAAGATTCAGAAAACTAAGATCATGGCTTCTGGTGCCATCTCTTCATGGCAAATAGATGGGGAAACAGTAGAAACTGTGGCAGATTTTATTTTTTTTTTTTTTTCGGCTCTGAAATCACTGAAGATGGTGACTATAGCCATGAAATTAAAAAACACTCCTTGGAAGAAAAGTTATGACCTACCTAGATAGCATATTAGAAAGCAGAGACATCACTTTGCCAACAAAGGCCTGTCTAGTCAAGGCTATGGTTTTTCCAGTAGTCATGTATAGATGTGAGAGCTGGAGTATAAAGAAAGCTGATCACCAAAGAATTGATGCTTTTGAACTATGGGGTTGGAGAAAACTCTTGAGAGTTCCTTGGACAGCAAGGAGATCCAACCAGTCCATCCTAAAGGAAATCAGTCCTGAATGTTCACTGGAAGGACTGATGCTGAAACTGAAACTCCAATCCTTTGGCCACCTGATGGGAAGAACTGACTCATTGGAAAAGACCCTGATGCTGGGAAAGAGTGAAGTCAGGAGGAGAAGGGGATGACAGAGGATGAGGACGAGATGGTTGGATGGCATCACTGACTCAATGGACATGAGTTTGAGTAAACTCTGGGAGTTGGCGATGGACAGGGAGGCCTGGCGTGCTGCAATCCATGGGGTTGCAAAGAGTTGAATACGACTGAGTGACTAAACTGAACTGAATTGGCTGAAGGATGCTTACCCGTTGTTATGAGACTCTCAGTGAAACATCTGTTTACCAGTGAAGCTTAGAAGTGAGGATGGTAAGGAAAATGCCTTCTACAAGTTATGCTTTGGCCAGGCAATGCTGAATTTGAAATTACTTTTGTTGACTGAAAAAATACGTGGAACCTGAAAGTAGAGAGTTATTTTATTTGGTGAGGATGTTTAGAGACCCGGAGACAGCATCCCAGGAGCTCTGAGAAAACTGCTCCAAGGAGGCAGGAGGGGGAGTCAGGCTATATATAAGTTTGCAACAAAGAGGGCAGGCAGTCTGAATAGCAAAGATCATGTGTCAAGTTAAGGAATTTCCCTTTCTCTGTATAAGAAGATGCAAGCCTCTGGGCTCACTGAATTCATTCCATTCATATGCATCTCAGCTATCTGGGGCCAATCCTGTTTCTTTGTTCACCTTGCTTCTTGCTTTCTGCCAGCTCTTCTACAATCATCAGAGGGGGTGACAGCATCTGCTGGATCAGTTTTGGGAGCCAGCATTCACATTTGGAGGCCAGAAATCGCTGATGACTGTGACATTTCTTATTTATTGGTATGGCCAGAGATATTTTCATTTCACACTTTTATTATTTTAAAATTAATTAACAGCTGGACAGGAAAAATATGAGGGAATGGTTGAGAAGTCAATGTTGTAAGCTTTCAGTTCAGTTCAGTTCAGTCACTCAGTTGTGTCTGACTCTTTGTGACCCCATGGACTCAGCACCCCAGGCCTCCCTGTCCATCACCAACTCCCGGAGCCTGCTCAAACTCATGTCCATTGCGTCAGTGATGCCATCCAACTATCTCATCCTCTGTCGTCCCCTTCTCCTCCTGACTTTACTCTTCCCCAACATCAGGGTCTTTTCCAGTGAGTCAGTTCCTGTCTAATGAGAACAGGCTGAGCTGACTCCATCTTGAAAAAGAAGGAAACTCCATCTTACATTCCCAGTGAACTTTGGACTATACTCCTGCCTGCACTTTCAGTGAACTTTGGACTATGTTCCTGGTAGCCATGGGGATAACATACCGGCCCAACTGGCCTCCTAGACTGATAAGCACCAGATTCCACCCCAAGATTTCCTGTGGCCAAAAAGAATGCGATCATCCCCTATGTAGCCAATCACCTTTGAATTCTTTATGGCACCCATTGGTGTAGGCTAGCATACAGAACCAGCTGACCTTTCTGAGTATGAATCACGGCTGTAACCCGATTGCATAGGAGGAAACAGACAGAACAGGCTCCATCTTGAAAGCAGGGCTTCATCTTGTGCCAGACTGTGGACTTTGAGCTCTATGCCCGGTATCTATGGAAACGACATACCAACTGGAAAACCAGGCCCCTGGGAAGGATGAGCCCCAGGGCTCATACCTAGACTCTCTGTTGCCTAAAAGAATACCCTAATTATCTGTCTAACTGAATAGAATCATACATTCTATTATGCTTATTGGGGTATGACCACAAGCCCAGTGATAATTGTCCACTATTAATTACCTGGGCTTAAGGCATATGAATCACGGGTTAACTTTCTTTTCCTTTATTCAGACTAGTTTCAGGGGATTTGGGGAGGTGGGTTTGGGCACATACACTTAGGGTATATAAGGTTTTCACAAAAACTGGTCAGGGTGCGTGGCCAAGAGGAAGCTCTGCCATGTGCCCGCCGGTGTAATAAACTGCTTTCCACTATCTGCATTGTCCTTCTGAGTGAGTTTGTTTTCCGGAGCATTTGGCTATGACAGCCAAAGTATTGGAGTTTCAGCTTCGGTATTAGTCCTTCCAATGAATATTCAGGACTAATTTCCTTTAGATTGACTGGTTTGACGTTTCAGTCCAAGGGACTCTCAAGAGACATTCCCCAACACCAGAGTTCAAAAGCATCAATCCTTCGGGGCTCAGCTTTCTTCATGGTCCAACTCTCACATCCACACATGACTACAGTAAGAGCCATACCTTTTACTAGACAGACCTTTGTTGGCAAAGTAATGTCTCTGCTTTAACCCTTGCTCTAAATGAACATAAAGAATCACTGTCTGGTCATACAGCTCTCTTTGGTTTCACATCATCTTACTTCCACAAGTGTTTATCAGTTTTCATTGCTTTTGCACTTCAATTCAGACTTTCAACGGTAAGTGAACTTTCAAACTTCTTTTTACATAAAAACTCCGCTTTTTCTTTGCCCTTTCTCAGGATGTTTAAATCTTTTCTGGACTCGATAAAACACTCTTCCCTCTGGGAATGGATACCTGCTCATTGTATTTCTGAAGATAAGTCCTGTCTGACCTTGAAAACTAGGGAAGGAGACCAGCCTCCATGTTTAAATTATTTGGGCTCCAGCTTTTTGCATACAGTGAAAATTCTTCCTGAGCAGACACCCAGGGCTATTATGGGAGAAAAGAAGAAAATCAGGTTTTTAAAGGTGGGATGAAGGGGTTTGGTTCTAAAGTTTAAAAGGCAGGGGAGGAGAGGAATAGAGTGAAAGGTGGATGCCAGGAATCTCAGAGCTGGATCTCTGCCGGAAATGTGTGCGTGTCAGCTAGTAGGTGCTTTGTGGTGGGTTTGCAGGAGGGCCCCTGTGAGAAGCATCACTCAGGCACCTGGGACTATGATGGATTAGAGCTATATCTTTAAGGGATGAGAGCTTCGTGCTCAACTGAGCCCAGGTGTGTGCTAGTGACTTACCATTTTTTTAAGTGATAGAGAAACCTATGCTACTGATAACGCACCTGTCCTTGGCAGCCACAGGCCAGTTCCTTCAGCAGTGGGACTGAGGGATCCAAGTGATGCCACAGTGCTTTCCTGGACCCTCTCCAGACACTTTCTGAGAATGCCTCCATGCAGCTTGCCCCCTCCAAATGCTAAGAACATCTGTAAGAGTGGAAGGAGATCTCCACACCTCTGCCAGGGAAGGAGTGATGCTTTCACTGTAGCTGGCATTGACGTTGGCATACAGGAGCACGCAGAGTCAGTACAGTGCAGCTAGACTACAGAGATGGTAGTGAAAGTCACTCAGTCACGTCTGACTCTGTGACCCCACGGACTATACTGTCCATGGGATTCTCCAGGTCAGAATAATAGAGTGGGTAGCCTTTCCCTTCTCCAGGGGATCTTCCCAACCCGGTGATTGAACCCAGGTCTCCCACATTGCAGACAGATTATTTACCATCTGAGCCACAAGGGAAGCCCTGGTGAGATCGTGGTAAGCATGCTGTAAATCATCACTCACTGGGCATCCTATGGATGAAATGACCGTAAAACTGCAGTGTGCTATGGGTACTATATTGAATTATAGTTACTATTTTGCTGTAGTAACTTTTTCTCTTTTATGTTTTTAATTCCCTCTTATTTTAACTCTCAAGATTACACAGTAGGTAGATATTTTCCTCTTTTCTTTAAAAATAGAAAGAGTTGAAGCTTAGAAGTTTACAAATTTGCTTGTGATCACTCTCATTCAATGCAAGGATCAGGATCAGACACTTTGTTGTCCTGGCATCAAAGCTTTCCTTTTCTTTCAAGATACAAGCCTGTTTCTTTGTACTAACTCTCTGAGTGGCTCTAGGCAAATCACTTAACTGCTGTGGACCTGAAACCGCACAACTAAGGAGGTAGAACAAAACGATTACCCTCTACAATTTCTTGCAGATTTGCATTCCAGGGTAGAGGTAGGGAGCCCTAGGCCACCTCTGCAGATACTTTCCCCTCGAGTAACACACGCTAGCACGCATTGAAATGACCAAGTCTATAAAACCTGCTTAACCTCTCCCTCTCCATCTCTCATTCCTGCTTTGCTCAATGTGCTTCTCTTGGACATCCTGGGAAGAGGCGGCCGTGCCTCAGGGTTCTTCAAGCAGGAGCAGGCTGGCTTTCAGTTTGCTCCTTGGACTAGGTATTTGCTCTCGTCCTTGACAGGTAATAGAACTGTGGTCATTTCAAACCTATTCCTCTTTCAACCATCATCGCCAAGAAACAGACAAGTTCTGAATATATTTAGGGGGTGTCCGATTGCTTCCTCTCTGTTCCGAGTGAGTTCCAGCTGAAGGGTCAAGGTTGATGTGGGAGCAACAACTGGAGGTTGCTTCTCAGTGATTCTTTATCATGGTGAATCATGCCTGCTCCTCCGTCACCCCCCAAGTTGTCTTGTTGGATTGATACAGAGGCGTTATGAGTTGGAAAAAGATAACCAAAGATAAATTCCGCAGCATCGGGTGATGAGGCAGGAGAAGGTGAAAGACTTATAAACTCTAATGTCATACCATAATCCTTCCTTGGAGTCAGTTCCTGGAAATGAAGGTCAGTCATCAAGGCAAAACAATGGCAGACTTTGAGTAGAAGTGTCGCTTAGGTTTAACAAGTGAAGGGGGAAATAAATGAGGGATGAGCAAACATCCTTCACAATCCAAAATCTTTCTCCTTTAACGTGTCACTAATCTCTGTCGTGAGAAGAGTTAACTCGTTGGAAAAGACCCTGATGCTGGGAAAGATTGGGGCAGGAGGAAAAGGGGACAATAGAGGATGAGATGGCTGGATGGCATCACCGATTCGATGGGCATGAGTTTGAGTAAACTCCGGGAGTGGGTCATGGACAGGGAGGCCTGGCGTGCTGCGATTCATGGGGTCGCAAGAGTCGGACATGACTGAGCAACTGAACTGAACTGAACTGAATCTCTGTCAGTGGCCACGCGAGATGAAGGATGTGGTGGACACTTTGAAAGAAGGGTAGTGGTACCCTCGTGGAGTGTGGTGCTTATGGAGACGTCCCCAGAGGATGCGCTTTGTGTAACATTGTCATGTCCCCATCTGGTACATCTGACTACTCTCCTCCCCAGTGAGGAGGTCAGACTGGGGAAAAAAAAAAAAACAAGAACAAAGCCAAAACATTGGCTTCAAAATATATTCAGATGACAGAGAAAGAGAGAGAATATGGATCTGTCTTCATTTTTAGTCCCTCCACATTTATTTGAAAGTATCCTTGCTCTTGATATGATGCAATTTATCAGCTGATCACATGCTAGCATTGCTCTTGCGTTTACTGTCTGAGCCACCAGCCTCCTTCCGTGTATCTGCAGGCTCCACAGTGTGTGCTGGGATGCTCAACAGAGACTTACGAAAGGATGGGATGGGAAGAAAGTCTCAAGCCTTAGCACACCCGTTGTTAACAGTGGGTGAAGATCTCTAGCAGGTGGGTGTGCACTGGATGGAATAGCATATTTTTCTTATAGCTGGAGACACACAGAATCCAGGTACCAAAGTGAGTTATGTTTGCAGTGAGAAGGGACACAATGAAGCAGTATGTCTGTGGTGCAGTTGTCACGTAACAGACTGGAAATGAGTTCTTGGATCGGGGTACCTGAGGACAGGTGGACAGTAGAAGACAAAGTGAAACAGCTTAAAGTGTAGATTATAATCAGTGAAAGCTGGGTGTGGAGAGTCTGATCCAGTTTGGAGCCCAGGCTTTCTCCCCAAGGAAACCTGTGTTGTAGACTAGTTTGATGCCCTGGTGGTGACGTTCAGCCAGTAACTGTGGTACAGCTGGAGAGGAAGTGAGGACATGGGGCAAAGGGTGATAGAAAGGCCTTTTCTGAGAACAGCGAGCATGGTGGTCACAAAGACTGCCTAGACTGTCAGACGTGAAGAGCCAGTTTATATGTGTTCGTGCTGATTCACTTCAGACATGTCTAACTCTCTGCAACTCTATGCACTGTAGCCCACCAGACTCCTCTGTCCATAGGATTCTCCAGGCAAGAATACTGGAGAGGGTTGCCATTTCATTCTCCAGGGGATCTTCCCCACCCAGTGGTTGAACCTGCATTTCTCATGTCTCCTGCATTGGTAGGTAGGTTCTTTACCACTAGCGCCACCTGGGAAGAGCCAGTTTAGGGAGACAGAAGCAAGTTTGAAGTGGAGAATCCACTGGAGTTGGCAGAATCTGAAGCACTGAGCATGTCAGAAAAGGGAGGGACCCAAATAAAGGCAGGAGTCTCAGAGAATGCCTCTGTAAGAAGTGAAATGTGAAGAAATCTGGGCTTGTGTGGATCTCGGATACTTGACCATCATTCAAGTTTTGTCCAACTGTTCAAAGGCAAAGAGATAGGATGAACCCTGATCAAATATTAGGAGGCAATTCAGTCCTTTGAAATGCAGTTTTCTCATCAACCCTCCAACCTAATCATATATGAAATAATATAACAGATGTGAGCAATTGTATAAAGAATTGAAATATCCTTAGTGTTTTACAGTGTGCTTCATACATTTATCTCATTTATTTCTCCAAA